TATATATATATATATATATATATATAGGGTTTAGGGTTTAGGGTTTAGTGAACAAAACAAACATGTCTCCTCTGCAGCAAAAAGCCACATCAGGTTCTATGGAGGGTTTAGGGTTTAGGGTTTAGGGTTTAGTAGACAAACACCAAGTGTCTCCTCTGCAGCACGACGCCACATCAGTTTCTATCGAGGGTTTAGGGTTTAGGGTTTAGGGTTTAGTAGACAAACCCTAGGTGTCTCCTTTGTCTCCTTGCTGCAGAGAAGGGCCGTGTCTTCAGGCTGCTGGAGAGTGGGGCCGTTGGGGACAAGGGGCTGCGGGATTTGTCTCTCCCGGATTCTCTTTTCTCTCGTATAGCTGATATTAACATCACCCACGTCAGCTTCTATCGAGGGTTTAGGGTTTAGGGTTTAGGGTTTACGGTCTAGGGTTTAGGGTTTAGGGTTTAGGGTTTAGTAAGCGAAACATACGTGCGAAAGAATCAAAAGCAAACGGAAATAAATAGCATCGGGGTTTACAGCTTAACGTTTAGGATCTAATTATTAGGGTTTAGGGTTTAGGGTTTAGGGTTTTAGGGTTTAGGGTTTAGGGTTTAGGGTTTAGGGTTTAGGGTTTTAGGGTTTAGGGTTTAGGGTTTAGCAGTCATACCATGTGCGTCTCAGTTGCTGCAAGTCCTTCAAGAGCGCCATGAAGGTACTGTACCCAATGGGGGTGCGGGGGCCCCTGGGGGCCCCCTGCAGGCGGAGGGGCCCCCTGGGGGGGGCCCCCTGCAGGGGGAGGGGGCCCCCGTAGGGGGCCCCCAAAAGGCGGAGGGGGCCCCTGGGGGCCCCCCGCAGACACCTGAAGAGCGGTCTGAGCGCATGCAGCAGGAACACCAGGAGAAGCTGCGTGCTGCTGCGATGAGAGCTGTTGAGGAGATAGAGAGGGGGGGGGGATAGATGGGTTTGTTGCTGCTGTGTCTCCTTATAAAACAAAAAAACCCCAAGGAGACAGCAGCAACAATATATCTACTGTAGATGCTTTCTCGGCCCTTGTTTATAAAGCCATGCTCGTAGCATACAAATTCCTTAAACCAGGTGAGATAGAGAAAGGAGACAGAAGGAGACAGAAGGAGACAGAAGGAGACAGAGGGAGACAGAGACAGAAGGAGACAGACAGATACAGAAGGAGACAGAAGGAGACACACAGTGGCAGAAGGAGACAGATGGAGACAGAAGGAGACAGACACAGAGAGGAGGAGATATAAAGAGACAGAAGGAGACAGACAGAGAGAAAGGAGACAGATGGAGACAGGAGACATAAAGAAACATAGGCAGACATAGAGAGACAGAAGGAGACAGTAGGAATTATTGCTGCTCTTGCTGTTGTTCTTGCTGCTGCCGCTGCTGCTCCTGCTGCTGCTGCTACTGCTACTGCCGCTGCTGCTGCTGCTGCTGCTGCTGCTGCTGCTGCTGCAGGGGGCCGTCTGGTGTTGTTTACCCAGGCGTTTGACGCTGCTGCTGGGGTCCACTCAGCTCTGTGCGCCTCGCGGGAGTTTATACACCCCAACCTAGAGGAGTTGTTGCTGCGAGAGTTTCAGGCAAGAATATATTTATTTTTTTTTTTCTTTTTTTTCTCCTTGTTCTGACTCAACCAAACCCTAAACCCTAAACCCTAAAAGGGTTTAGGGTTTAGGGTTTAGGGTTTAGTTAAACCTTTTCTGCATTCTTACTATACTTCCTGCTCTGTCGCTCGCTCTGTTGTAACACAAAAACCTAAACCCTAAACCCTAAACCCTAAAGTGTTGTTTAAGAACTGCTGCTGTGGGGGGCCCCCTCTCTGCGTGGGGGCCCCCAGGCGTACCCATATGAGGGCCCCTGTGCATGCTAGTGTTTTGTCGGTCAGGCATTGCTGCTGCTGCTGCTGCTGCTGCTGCTGCTGCTACTGTCTTGTCTTGACTGTCTGTTCCACACTATTACTGTTGCTGCTGCAGCAGCAGCAATAGCTTTCTGCTGCTGTTGACGCTGCAGCAGCAGCAGCAACTGTCTCCTTCTGTCTCCTGTCTCCTCTTCTCCCGCAGGTTGTCCCTGGGCGGACCCACCCAATCATGCAGAGCACCATCACCATCCCCAGCGGCTTCATCGTCTCCGCCATCAAAGTCGGCCTGGACCCATGAGGGCCCCCAAGGGCCCCCAGGGGCCCCCGCGGGCCCCCCGGGGCCCCCCACGGGCCCCTAGGGGCCCCCTATGGGCCCTCAGGGCCCCCCCACGGGTTCCCAAGGGCCCCCCGGAGGCCCCTAGGGGCCTCCTGGGGCCCCCTGGGGGCCTCACAAGGGCCCCCAGGGGCCCACTGAGTGCCCTCAGGGGCCTCATGCGGGCCCCCAGGGGCCCCGTGACAGCCCCCAGTGTTCCCACGAGGGGCGCCAAAGGGCGCCTGAAGGGCCCCAGGGGGGCCCCCTGGGGCCCCCTGTGGGGCTTTGGGGGGCCCCTGGGTATGGTAAAGGGCCCCTAGAGGGGCTTAAGGGCTGAGGGCCTCTAGGGGGCCCCCTCGGGTATTTAGGGGCCCCCGGTAGGGGCTGGGGGCCCTCCTTCTTCCTTATGGAGAGGCCGACAAACAATAAAGAGAGTCAATACTGACAAATAGATGAAGTCCGTAGAGAAGATAAAGGGACTATATATATATATATATATATATATATATATATATATATATATATATATATATATATATATATATAT